TAACCCCTATACAACCCCAATATCACTACCCTATCTGAGCGTTTGTGGGCCACAGAAGATGCAGGAAGCCCTCTCCTGCTACTGTTGCAAGCTATACCAGTCCAACTCCGCATCCAGTGTATGGGTCGTGGTAAGCGGAAGCTCAGCCCCCTGGCGCCCATCCACACCCCAGGTTTCGGAAAGCTGCAAATGCTGGCTCCATCCATGCAAAGAATGACCTGGGAGCTACCTTGCTGCAAGGACAAAGTGAGGTCTCAAGAACTACAGTGGTAGTTCCTCAAAGTAACCCGCTTGAATTCCTCAAGAGGAATCACACTGATCATCCCAAACTTTGGGAGAACCCGCAAGTGGCTGGCCATATGCCTCGTCATCGACACAGTGCCCAAGTCACCTTCCACACGAACCAAGACCACGTGGAGATTCACGGGTAATCATAAGATGCTGAGTAGGACAATTTGTGGTTGTGAGCTAAAATACTTAGGATACTTGTAACCCCACTCTAGTCACCCATGAACCCTCCAGCAACCATCACTGAGGACATGTACCGGCTCGGTCATGGAACCAGCCAGGACTACTCCAATGCCATATACTGGTACCAGACACTTGGACTTGGACATCAAGTATAATGTTTGCAGATTTTGTTGGACGTTCCATGCGCGTTTCCAAGGTAGCCTTCAGCTGATTCTATTCAACAGTTGGAGCTTCCCAAAGCGACCCGCCCGTCCTCCTCTCAAGAAATGTGAAATCCCTTGCGCCAGCTCTGCCAAACGTCCGATGCACTCCTGCAGCAACCACCCTTGTCAGGTGTGAAGCAGATGCCTAAGTACAGCTCAGACTCTCTGTCGTTTTAGTTCGAGATGATTTCCCTTGACGCCAATATATTGCAGCTGATGGTTGACAAGACTTCTTACATGGCATTCATCTGAGGTCAAAGTCTGTAGCCGACGCGAGAACTGAAGTCTTGAAAGCAATCCGGGTGTAGACGTTTAAAGGTAGTGACCGTATTATGCGTTCCTCTTATTTAAGTATTGGCTGCCAGCTGGGATTACGTCAGCCCACTAAGACTAAGTTGGCCAGGTCGGCTTTCCCTGGAAATTTCTACAGTTGCAGCCTCTAGGATACGACATGTAAACGAGACAGACGTAATGCATAACTGATTGGGGGCGCCACAGCACCCTGCCCAAGTTCCAGGCAAGGTGCACGTAGGCGTAACACTAAACGCAAAACCCTGCGGACCCAATACCATGTAAACCCAAAAGCCCTAAGCTTTACACCCTAGAAGAATCATGAATGGTGTTCAGGGCTTTGACGTCCAGAGCAAACTTATTTGCTACCGGAGCAGATAAGGATAAGCGTCACCCCCACGTACTGCACTGCGTAGGGTCAAGCCCTGAGCCTAACTGTATTCTGCAAGGAAGGTGACCACGGAACTGTCCGATATTCTCGCGGCAGATCCGCGACTGCCCTCGGCACAGCGGAACAAGACTTCGGTTCCTGGCCTTGAAAGTTTTTTAATATTGGTGCTTGGTAGGGACTCAGAAAACGGATTGCTAGTCTTGATATAACCTCAGTCATAGTCTCTACAAGCCATCTTCATTCCCTGACCACGAAAAAAGCGCCAGGGCAGTTTTCTTGGCTTGAGCAGGGGATTCCAAGATCAGAGAATACGGTAGAACTTGTGGGACTTTGGCAAGGTGGTTTAGGGATTAGGGGTTTGTTAGGTTTGCATAGGCTGCAGGTGAACTGTCTGCTTGCAAAGGGCCAGGGGCTTCGAGGTCGAACGGCAAACCCAGAAGTTGCTGTAGGGTAATATAGGGAAATATTGGGGGAATGTAGGGTAATATAGGGATAATGNNGTAAATGGAAACTACTATAGTGGGGGAAGCTGAGCTCTTCGTAGGTGTAGACCTTACCAGCTGGTCCTCACCAAGACTTCGGGTAAGCCTTGCTCCGTGTGGCAGTTTGAGGTTTCGAGGCTCTCAAAAAAAGGGGGTGGCCAGTGATGGGCATCTCCCTGTAGAGGGGCTCCCCCTTCTGCTTCCCCTGCAAATCGTAAAATCGTGAGCGCAGAGACGCCTGCCAAATCCCAAATAGCATCCATAATTGTTGAACAGCCCCAGATCTGAACCTTCTCCTGATCCACAACCATACACCTATAGGTGCTTATGTAGAATTAGTCCCTTTACAGTATTCTTTCTTGGAGGGTCCCCCATCTTGGGAAATCCACCTTTCCCAGGTTGCCCGGTCCTTCAACAGCCTTGGGGCGATGTACGCCTCTGGGTGGGGCGTGCAGAAAAACCGGATCCTGGGACTGACTGGCCTCTCCTGGCAAGATGTTTATGAGTTTGGGGGGGTAGGGCCTGTAAGGTTTGATGTTGAGAAGTTGAAGCCATAAACTCTTCCCGAAGACACCCACGGAGCCATTTTGGCAGGGAGGGCTTGTAATTTGAGCTCTGGGACCTGAGCTCTCTCTGGGCCGCCGCCGCCGCCGCCCGCGCCG